GCTTCCTGGCGTAATAGATTTGCATAGTTTCTCTGCTTTCTCTAAAGTGTGCTACACCCAAAAATTATTTACAACAGATATAAACCTCAGTGATCCAAGATTAGCACCATCTTCTTTCTCTGGAAACTTGTATTTGCAAAAGTGTCACATTGAGGAACGCAACATATGATAAACTGTCAAGCTGCTGACCGATCAAGCCTGATTCGACTTTTAGCCAGACAGCTGCATTTATAATATTAGCAATTTATTCTGAGGTCCTGTGATCTGAGCAGGATAACCGTGTTACGTACATGAGACATAAGTTGCGCTGAGAAACATCAGGAACAAAGCCCATCGCTAACAGCTGTCCAACAGGTTTCTGCTACCATGGAAAAGATTTGAAAAAGGAATGAGAGCCACAGAAACAAAGAGACTCAGGAATTTAGTAGTTGACAGGCGGAATTCAAGTTCAGCCCTCCAGTTGCCTCGGGCTGTGAAGATGCTGCTAAAGCAGAAAACTTCCTTTTACTGTCAGGTTTGCTTCAAAACACCGGGGCGGCGCGCATGTCAAACGTAATTGCAGTTTTGTCATTTCTGTTGTGTTATTTAATTTGTTTTTTAAAAAAAGATTGTGATTGTTTTATTGTGGAAGCTTGTTTCTATCGCAAAGAACCAGAATAATTTCCAGTTTTACTTCTCTGATTGCAGCATTAGTAAAATCCTACTTCTGAACCAGATTTCAGATTTGAAAGGGTAAACAGTGAAACTGTGAAACTTCCAGCTAGGTTTGTTTTAATAAATACTCCATTCACCTCAACAGAAATAACAACATAAAAAGGTTTAACTAAATAAATTTGCTTTTCATTAAATCACAGTCCCTCGATGTAAATTCAGCTATTTTGTGAATTATTCTGAGATTTGTTGAACATTAATGAACAAGCATCACAAACACATTTTCAAAAAATGGAAAATGTATTGCACATCTTGAAACCTATCAAAACATAGCAGTTCATCCAAACTGACAGCAAGGCTACTAACTATTAATCCTGGAAACAGACAAGAACCCTCTGGTAACTCTGTGAAAACAGAAAACTAAACATTTTGTGAGATGCTACATGTCACTCCAAACACACCAATGGTGAAACACGGGGCAGGTAGCATCATGCTGTGGGAATGCTTTTACTTAAGCAGTGAGGATCCCCTTCCTGCGGGACATCGACCGCAGACAAACATACATGGTTGGAGCAGATGGAGAGATTTTCCCCAGGATTTGCAGGTGTAATTGGAGTGAAAGTTATTTCTCCAAAGCATCGCCTCAGATGCCCTGCAAACATACGCATACCAAAGTCTTCAGGTTTCTATTTATGAAAAAAAAAGAAGAAAAGAAATCAAGGTATTCTTCCTTTTTATAATTCTATTCTAGTTTGTGTTGATAAATCATAAGAAATTGTAAAAAAAATATGTCAACGTTTTAATGTGAAAAAGCCTTGCGATGAATGACTTCCTTTGAAACAGGAATTTTTAAAACTGGCATTTTTGGTTGCATCAAACCAAAGATGCAACCGTTTATTTCACAGAAATGGACAGTGACTGCCACACCTCCATGACCTGACGGGACTTTCTACGTGAAACTTTGCAAAGCTGAATGAAACTTTGGTTTCCATGCTGTGACTCAGGAAGGAATACCACCAGTGTGATCCTTAGCATAACCAAACGTCTCTGCATGTATTCAACGCCTCACGTGGATTTTACGCCTCACACAGAATGATTCATTATTGCAAATGTTGCGAATGGATTAAACAGTCCAGTTTTGTACATGTCCACTTATTATAATGTGTAGTGTAAAGAAGGACAGCCTGTCAAACCACACCTCAGACATCGTTAGGTCTCCACACCCAGTTTACACATACTACAGTTCAAAGCAAATTCCATAAAGTTTCATTATGTGTCTCAGTTTAAATTGATCGACAAAGCAAGTATACCCATGAATCAAAAATTATAGTTTAAGATTTTGCTTGTTATTTAAATGCAAATGTAAAACGGCAATGAGGAAGTTAGAGTGGAGCGGCCTTGTGACATCAAAAACTATAAAATCTCCTCGGTACAAACGAAGAGCTAACTCCTCCCAACTCCTTTACTATGAGCTGAGGTGAAAGAAATGAGATCCTGTGGAACCTAAACTATGTACGCATTGCCTCTTTGCTTTCACTTATTCACAGTGGAATTGCAAGAAAGAGAGCATGTGACATGAAAGCTACATGGATTGATATTTATGATTTAGCCTCAACAGTTTCACTTTCGTAGTTTCACTGATTTCTTTTCTAATTGCTCTCCCTTTTCTTTAAGCGCGGTAACATACGCAGCATCCTATTGCAAGCAGCACTCCCACACACTGCCTGAAGTAAAAACGTTTTAACCGACTCTAACGACTGACACAAGGTGCATTCTCTGCAAGATTGTAAACTGTGCTATCTCAGACATCTTTAGCAAAATATTTTGAGGTCAAACATTACGTAAGTGCTCCGTGCTACCCTGACTTGACCAGGCTTGGACTCTTTGATAACTTATACTCCTGGCAATAACAAGAACAGTATAGAGAATATAAAGGTGCCCTAAGTCAAAATACCCCTAGTTGATTACTTGCTGAAGGTCATAGGTTGTATGTTCACACAGACTGTCCTAAACAAGATGTTGAGCATCTTATATAATTTTGCAGGATGTTAAATATAAGATTTTGAACATCTAACGGTCAACATCTTGTGTTGAAGATGTTCTCATGCTGAACATCTTCAACATTTTGTGTTGAAGGATGTTGTATGAGAGAAGTATTTTCATAACTGATAAACAGTATGACAGAATGAGCCGTTGACAAAAAAGTTACCAATTGTTGACTTTTTCCCTTCCAGAATAGTTAATTCAGCTGTAATTACTTCACATTTATATAATTACAATAATAACCCTTTACTGTGTAAAAGGAAAATTGACAGTTGGTTTCTCGTAAAAAGAAAAGAAAAGCGCTGTACTGTTGATCATCTTTTTGTGGTGTGTAACAAAAAAAAAAAAAAAAACATGATAAAAATGAATTCAATTGAGTTGAATTGACAAATAACTGATTGTTTCATCATGCAAAATAGATTTTGGATTTCAAATTCAAGTAAGCTGCTTTATTTTGGGGCTTTTGTTAGGGAAGGTCATTTTTGACCCTGAGGTCAAGGGGAGAATATTTTAATATAATTACGCTCTTTTTTTATTATTATTAAACTTGGCTGAATAGATGTTGGTAGCGATACTGTAATTGCGGTGTAATGTTAGCGTTAGCATGTCCTGCCGTTTTTTAACAGATAGCATATTCCAGTAAAAGGATTAGTGTGCGTACATGTATAGCTTTTTATTTTAAACGGGTAGGATAGTCAGATGAAGGAAGTGATCTTGTGGTTGGGCTCTGCAGTGCAAAAAGGGCTTTATTTTTAAATCTGCAAGCAGACTTGGTCAAGAGCTCTGCCTTTGTTATGGATCTGGCTAAGTGTTGTTGCTTCACCCAGCTTCAATCGCTGGTCTGATTTATTGGCAGCTGTAGAGGACAAGAATGTACTCTGACTAATGCTGTCAAAATGTGCGGTACAGCTTTAAAAAAAAAAGACAGAGGACAAATGCAAATATTTGCATGATTTTTATGGTTGCTGATAGATAAAATGTCATGGAAAAAAAACTTATTTTCTCACAAGAGAAAGTGCAGAGCAAGAATTTGTTTGAGCTTTAGCTTAAAATTTGACACGTTTGTTAGAAACGAAAGGCATGTGCATGTGAAAAGATGGAGAAGGATGAAAGAAATGCAGACCTCACTTCCAAAAAAAGAAAAAAAAATTGCAGCAAGAGAAACGACGCAATGAATGTGTTTGAGAATGCAGGGAGTGGGCTCAGCGAACTGCATCAGCTAGAAAAACAACTTCTAAATGTTCAGTGCACATCGCTGATCATCCTCAGGGGATCATTTCAAGAAAAAGCATGTTAAGACTGAAAGGCCCTAAAGCACAGGAGTCAAACTCCAGTCCTGAAGGGCCACTGTCCTGCAGTTTCTAAATGTGCCACAGGTACAAAACACTGGAATGAAATGGCTGAATTACCTCCTTCTTGTGTAGATCAGTTCTCAAGAGTCTTGCTAATGACCTAATTATTCTATTCAGGTGTGGTGCAGCAGAGGCATGGCTAAGAATTGCAGGACGCCGGCCCTTCAGGACTGGAGTTTGACACCCCTTCCCTGAAGGGTCTTTTTCTTTTTTACAGTCTTTTCTTCCAAAGACTTCTTGTATTGCTGCAAGAATTTCATAAGATAGCTCAGGCAGAAAGATAAACTGTAATAAAGTTTTATATTTGGAGTTCAGTTCCCATGTTTATCCTATTGTTTGCTTTTTGACAAGAGGCTCAGCAGAAAGCAAATCTTATAGACTCTGTCTTTTGACATAGAATTGATCCTTTAAAAGTAAATCTGACAACTGAGTTTGGAAAAGGAGCAAAGTGATGTCATAGACTACATCACTATGTAAAACTACCTAACGGACATCATTAGAATAAAATGTTCTGCTGTAAAGTTCTCTGTCTGGCTCAGAAATCTATTTGTGTATCCTCAACAAACTATGTCTTAGCTGAAACGTGTGATTGTTCATACATTATCTTTTAGTTGAGCAAAGTGTTTCATTCAACTGCTTATTTTCACTATTATTTTGCCTGTAGCCCATCTAAATTCACAAAACATAGTAAAACCATTCCAAAAAAAACGAAGTCACACTATATAAAGGAGGTTCCCTGCAGTACTTTACCCTTGTCTCCTTTTTTCTCGCTAGAGTCTATCCCATGACAGGGTGTGTCACGGCTTATCTCCTGGCGATCCCTTCCTACCTGCTCAACAGGATTAGCCACTCCTGTTATTCAGCATAGGTGTGGAGAGCGGAGGCTTTACAGCAAAAAGTGAGAGAACAGGTTGAGGTGGCTCCCCGCCCCCTGCTCTGTGCATAAAAGAAGGCAGCATCAGCAGCCAGACACTCACAGGGACTTGGCTCTCCTTTTGAAGCTTGCACATCTCCAGCTTTCCTTTGCTCAGCCAGCGGACAACCTTTAACTCTGCCAAGATGAGGAAGGCAATGTCAACCACAAGCTCCACCAGCGTCCGAAGATCCTACGCCACACCAGTCAGCAGTGTGTCCAAGACCAGCTACGGTTCCAGTTATGCCTCTGCACCCAGCTACTCTGGTGGTTTTAGCAGCATGTCTTTGACAAGATCAGGAAACTATGGCGGCTTCGGCCAGCAGAGTTTTGGCCAACAGAGTTTTGGCCAACAGAGTTTTGGCCAGCAGAATTTCGTGCCACATATCACAGCTGTCCAGGTCAACGAGAGTCTGTTGGCACCAATTCCTAACACCTTCGACAAATCTGTCGAGGTTATCCGCACCCAGGAGAAGGAGCAGATCAAGACCCTCAACAACCGCTTTGCCTCCTTCATCGACAAGGTTGGTGTCTACCTCTCTGCCCCTGTGCATTCACCGTAAGCTTGATTTGCCTTAGATAGTTGCAGCTAACTCTACCATCTTTCACCGGTACATGAAAGTAAATGAGGAGAAAGTTGAACTCAAATTCAGTGTTTAGGATTTTTGTAGGCTGCAAGTTGAAGAACCTGCAGAGCAGGGGAAGCTGTGGATGTTATCCTCATAGCACAGTGTCTAGAACCAGAGGAGCTCACAAAAATATTACATCGGACTGTCATGTGACAGTTTGCCTCTTTATCCTTGTATTCAGCAAAGAAAAATCTACTGCATTTTCCAGGATGGCCTGTCTGAGTTCGTGGCAGCTAACTCTGCCCACTAAGTAAACATAGCATCAGTGATATCGATGCTCACTTCTCAGCTGGTCAACCGGAATAAAGAACAGGGAGATATCTTGCACTGCTTCCACAGAGTCCAAAGTCACACCTATCACCTGGTTGTTAGAGGCAACATGAATGTTAACTACTTGGCTGTAAATACATTTCCCCGATTCTTAAAACCACAAATTTCACTTTGAAGTTAGATATACAGTTTCCTGCAAACACTTAAGAAAATATCCATTTCATGTCACACTGCTGCTTTGTCTTCCACGCCTAAAGTGCCACACCTAGTTTTTTTTTTTTTTTTTATGGCTAGAGAAACATTGTGGTTATGATAACTCAATAGAGGCTGGAAGTTGAGCTACAGGCCAACAATAGAAACATTTTCTCAGGCACTCCTGGTTTTATGAACTTTTTGGTGCCATGGGCGTCATGTTGTGCCAAACTAAAGCTATTTATACTAACATAATACAGATTCTTAAAGAGTATGCACTCAAACTGAGGCAACGATGAGTTGCAACTGTTTCAGCAAAGGTGTGGCAGTTTAGATAGGTAGACATGCACCTGAAGTGACACACCCTTTAAATCTTTGTTTTGCACAACTCCTCCCAGTTTTTTTTTTTTCCTTTTGCTTTTATCGTTCAGCTCAAAATATTTTGTACTATCAAACATCATTCTATATCATTTCAAATTGTATGAAGAGTACTACCTCAAAAAAACAAAAGACATAATGGGGTTGCTTTTTCTTCTTTTTTTTATTCCACAGGTTCGTTTCCTGGAACAACAGAACAAGATGCTGGAAACCAAATGGAGCCTCCTGCAGCAACAAACCACAACCCACTCCAACATTGACAACATGTTTGAGACCTACATTGCCAACTTGCGCAGACAGCTTGATGGGCTTGGCAACGAGAAGATGAAGCTGGAGGGAGAGCTGAAGAACATGCAACACCTTGTTGAGGACTTCAAGAATAAGTTAGTATTTAGGAAAAAAACCCAGGATATATGCCCAAAGTTTCTTTCACATTGCAGATGTTGAAAGCATGGTGTGCTCATGATTTGCTTCGTACTTCACCAGGTATGAGGATGAAATCAACAAGCGCGCGAGTGCTGAGAATGAGTTTGTGCTCCTGAAGAAGGTGAGTTAACATGAAAATGGCTCTTTTAGTTGTGTCAACTATTTCTTTGGATTACTGTGAAAAATGTCTGATGGATGTTTGTTTCTTGTATTTCCAGGATGTCGATGCTGCCTACATGAACAAGGTGGAGCTGGAGGCTAAAGTTGATGCTCTCCAGGATGAGATCAACTTCCTCAGGGCCGTGTATGAAGCTGTACGTACAACTTTTGTGGTTGAAATCGAGCTACTGCACAAAAGAGCTAATTTACCAACTTCTCTGTGTAGGAGCTTCGTGAGCTGCAGGGACAGATTAAGGACACCTCCGTCATTGTGGAGATGGACAATAGCCGTACCCTTGATATGGATGCCATTGTGGCTGAAGTCCGTGCTCAGTATGAGGAAATTGCAAACCGCAGCAAGGCTGAAGCAGAGATGTGGTACAAGCAGAAGGTAAGCAACGTTAAGGTTGATGTTATTCCCCTTATTCTGCTGCACATGTCAACCTTTGACCTTCCTTCTGTTTGGTTTTTGATGTCGTGCTTTTATTTTTTACTTACAGTACGAAGAGATGCAGTCCTCTGCAGGACAGTGTGAAACAAACCTGCGCACAACAAAGGCTGAAATTGCTGACCTGAAGCGCATGATCGCACGTCTTCAGAATGAGATCGAAGCTGTCAAATCACAGGTACACTTCAGTGACCTCTCGTCTGTCAAGCATTCTTGCTTAGGGTCTCGTTCAGATGTTCAGACGTTTGTGACGTCATTTCCCACAGAGAAGCAGCCTTGAGGCACAGATCAGCGAGGCTGAGGAACGCGGTGAGCTGGCGGTAAAGGATGCCAGGGCTCGCATCAAGGCTCTGGAGGAAGCTCTGAGCAAGGCCAAGGCAGAGATGGCCAAGCAGGTGCGCGAATACAGTGACCTGTTGAACATCAAGCTCGCCTTGGACATTGAGATTGCCACCTACAGGAAGCTCCTGGAAGGAGAAGAGAGCAGGTGGGAAAAAACTTAAATGTTTATGTTTCAAGGCTGAATTGTAAGCTCGGCCACCACTTTACGCACTAACATGCTGTTGTTTCTCCCAGACTGACCAACGGGGGATCCAGCGCCACCATCCATGTGCAGCAAACCTCCTCTGGTGGTAGGTGTCCAGCGTGATTTATCACGATCACAAGTAAACCAGTGCAATAACAAAGAAAAAGAAAGGGTAACCTTTCCTTTTTGTTTTCTGCCACAGGACTGTCCAGCAGCGGCTCCGGGTTTGGCTTCGGTGGCATGTCTGGTGGTTACGGTGGTACCATCACCAAGTCTGTCACACAGCAAAGCAGCTCCAAAAGATACTACTGAAGTCTTTTAAAAGGAGAGCCACTTACTTGCACTTCAGAAACTTTTTAAAATCTGTACTAAATCTCTACCTTTTTCATGGTGCTAAGCAATGCTGTCACATGTGTTCAAGACAAGTCTGAGCATCCCAAAAATAATAAGCAATTCTTACAACCGGTAACATTTGTCTGTCCTGTTCAACAACATATAACAGAAGTCTCTGAAGGCTCAGGTCTGTTAACATTGCAATGTTTTCATTTTCTTTCTGCACTGACATCTTATAAAAACACACAAAAAAAGAGAAACAAACGGTGATGTGGAGGAGTAAAAGAGAGATAGTTTGAACATCTGAACTATGATGCTTTTGCAAAATGTGTTGCAACAATCTTGCTTTTCGGTTGCCTGATCTGCTTGATGCTAAAATGGAGCAAGTCGCCGACCAAGTCTAAACATTGGAAAAAATATGAAATTTGAAACATTTAGTGAATAAACATGTTTACATTTGAAACCTGTGAGCTGATTGGTTATCGTCTCGCTCCTTTTTTGTCTTGTTCAAACTGTCATTCAGTTTTTCCGCCAGTTGCCTTTGACCTCAAATGATGTTGAAACCAGGTTTATTTTATGGAAGGAAGCATTCTAAGTGGCTTGATGCTTGAATGTTATTGAAGACTGTATGAACATCCCATTAAAGTAAATCTGAGAAAAAAAAAACAACGCTCTTTGTTATTGTTTTGATTACTGAAAACAAAAGTAAATATGTTTTATGCGATTTTTTTTTTGATCGTGGAGCCTTCACATAGAGTAAAAATATCCCATAAATGCAGTTTGTGGTGCGTTTCGTGGACCCCGAAAGATGCTTTGCATTTTTGTGAATGAATCAGGTAAGAACGTCTTCATTTTATCACTGGCCAAGAGGATTTTGGCGGTGATGTTGAAAAAACGTCCATCATGAATGCTTGATTTTAAGTTGGACGCTTCTGACGCTTTGGGGCGGAGCTTCAGGGAGGGACTTCTCAAGATGGCGGAAAACTGAATGAATGACAGCGGAGTGCAGGAACGAAAGAAAAAGAAGAGCTGGGCTGAGCAAGAAGCAGCCTCCAGCTGCTAGCCTCCTGCCTCGGCCTGACCCGCAGCGAAATCACCAAATAAATTTTTTATATTTTATTTTTCTAATAGTTACAGAGAAGGACACAGTTGATAAAAATTGAAAGAGGGAGGGAGACAAATAAAGACAGAAATGAAGAAGGATAAATAAATACTGTACATAGAGGACAGATAGAGAACATTGTCAAATTTTTCTTCCTTAAGAAAGCTCTGACAGACTCAAGATGTTCAAGTATTTTTTTTTTGATAACTACAAAGTATATTTTTGTTTGTAGTAATGATCCTTACATTCATTAAAGGTGCATCAGTTGCAATTTTCTGGCTGATCAACCTTTAAAAATCTGACTTGCTGAAATTTATGGGTAGAATCGGTTCCACAAGTAAGTCACGGGCAAACGCAGACCACCCTTTATTTGATATATATATATGCAACTGTTTAACGATGATTAAGTTGGGCTCGCACCTTGGCTGTCTCAAGCCCAGTGGCCCACACCTTCCTAGTCCAGCCCTTGACCTCAAAGACATGGGAGAGTCAGATTATGGTGTGAAAAAATCTGCATAGTTTTTTGACCTCAACCCAGCAGAGCAGCTTAGGGATGAATCAGACCTTCTAATACCACATCTTACCTCACAAATGGGTCTTTGGTAGAATGATCTAATATAAAAATAAAAAATAATACCACTCCTAAACTTTCCAAGGAGTTTGTAGGCTGGACCAAAATTATATTTAATCCTTTGACTTAAGGAAAGGACGTCACACATATGTGAGTAAGCAGAAGAGCAAAAACTTTTGACAATAGAGTCACAGTCGGAAAACCTGTGGTTGTATTCGTATGTAACGATGTGCGGATATGCGACTATTTGAACGTTTGTGATCAGAGGATGTCTAAGGTGAGAAAGTCAGCCATTGTTACAATACAAACATTTATAGTCGTCATCCAGGAAATATATTTTCTGCATCAACATGCTTCAAACTAGTCAATCATTATTTGAGCTTCCTCAGGGAGTCATGTGTCTGTTCAGCGAGATGGGACATTTAAGGCCATTTGCAAACTGTTATCAGCTGATTTTAATGTAGTCGTGTGAAACAGTTTAGATTTTTTAGAAGGATGCGTCTTTAAATACCAGCTGGCAGTAATCATGTATCACTTTTATCTTCTGGGGAATAAGTCATAACAATGATACCTTTACATGCCAAAAAGTCTAATATAATAATAATAATAATAATAATAATAATAATAATAATAATAATAATAATAATAATAATAATAAACATTTAGAGGAGAATTTTCTTCATCTTGAGGTAGATAAAAGGAAACCCTTTTCTGTTATGAAGATTTTTAATGTATCCTGAAGACAAATACTTACATTACCCAAGTCTCAGTGTTTATGGCCTTGCTACATTGTAAATCCTCACTAGTTGTCCCCGCACCATAAAATGTACAGAGAAAAGCAGAAACTGACATGTACCTATCAGCCTGTTCAGCTTTGGGAAGGGGCGGTGGACGTTACAATAGCCAGTAAAGACAATCAGGAGAGGGGCACCATGGATTTATAGGAGTTTTTCCCTCCATACTAACAGCCAACAACTAATACCAATATTACTTTCTGGTAAAACAAAAAACCCACTAAAGCATGTAAAATTCAATAGGTATGCCTTCAGCAATGTGCAGTCTTCTTCTGGCCATAGTGCAGACTGACGCTGCTGACACCAAGCACACACCAACCATGAAAGCATGAAAGAAGCAAAGCAACACTCCATATGTGAATTTATTGAGTGAATTGCATTATTACATGACATAAAGCTCAAAAAAGCCAATTTTACCTGATTTTATTTATACCTGTTGGTGCTCAGGTGTGTGGCTCTATTGCCTATTTGCACAACAAAATGGACTTCATCTGAGTAACGTCAAAGACGATAACCCACATGGGCCTGAGGAGCTGCAGAAGCAGCTGCTTTGTTGCAGCGCTGCCTCTTTCTGCCCTCCAGCTGATGCATTGTGTCTCCTGACCGGTGTTCAGATGCTCCAGCTCTTAAGTGGGATAGATTTATAGAGCTGTCAGTTATGCTCTTGCAGCTTTGGCCTTAGTAAAAAATAGGTAACGAAAGAGGTTTTTTTTAAGGGTGTTGAATTATTGCATGTTTGGCATTATCTTTTGACTGACTTAATGCATGCAGAATGCCACGTCATCTTCTGTTATTGATGCTCACCACCAAAGAACTGCTAAATGGTTCTTTACGTGTCCAGCAGCAGTATTTCTTCCATACATTTAGCACAGTTTTACTTTTGAATCAAGGGTAGGACCGGAGTGGAGACAGCCCATCTTTGCCGGGTCAGCTGAGGAAATGATTAATGGTAGCACTAATTTTAAACAGTCTGAACTAATTTTCTGGTTCCGGAGCCAGCCCTGGGTAAATGGAGCTCTACCCGACGGTCCAGGTAAGACCTGCAGTCTTATCTTTTGCCACAGGTGAACTCATTCTCATGTTACACACCTGCTGAAAAGTTTTGAGCAATACCGTAAAAATATAAATAGAAGGTGAGTGAGATGTTTTACCAGCCCTGAAGTTTGCAATGGCTTACCCCAAACCAGTATATTTAACCATCACTGATGTTGCTATAGTGCAGTGGTTGTCCAAGTCAGTAAATAAGTTATCATTTTGGAGTCATGCAATTTTGAAACATGAATTATTACTGAAAAATCATGTTTCAATGATTTTTCATTGAATTAGACTGAACATTCATAACAATGTTCTAGTTCTACAAGCCACCCAAAACATAAGTTGCACCCACATGCGCTTACACATTGATGCACCAAAATCCAGATCCATAGACGCTCGTACAGACCTACTTCGACATGAAAAGCTGAAATTGAGCCGAAAATTCCAAGATGACAACATAAACAGAGAACAGCATATATTGAGACTTTACATGGATACACGAGTTTATGTAAAAAATATTCAGGTCTTCTATAAACATTAAAATTTACTGACTAGTGCAAGAAGTTTGACTTGAAATGCGTTTACATTTTGATTAAGCTGATAGCATTTTCTAAAGAAATGTGCCAGACAGTGCACATTCAATGAGAGCGTGCTTTGACCTACAACTGCATTATTACAGTGGAGACCGATATATAAGTGAATATTGTTTGGTATAAAAACTACCATTTACGAATGTTGAAAAATAGACCTACAAAACAACTATAAGTTAACATTAAAACGGCTTCATAGAGCTGAAGAAAGAGGAAGATTTTTGAGGTCTTTGGCAGCTCAAGACAGCACTGAAGTCTGGATGTTTCCAGGCAGCTTTAAACACCCCTTCCCAATATAGCCTTTTTTTTCTTCAAAGAAGCATAAAAACTTTCATCCTTTGAAATCAAACTTTGCTGTGTCCTCTAAGAAATCTTTCTGAGGACATGTAAAGAGAGAACCATATCAGAATGTGTCATTTTAGAGCGCTTATGCAAGTCTAATGGGTTGTCAGCTTCTATCAGAACAGCCTGACTTTTGACACTGGGTCTACCAGGAAAGCTTCACAGACAAAACTGTCACTGTGCTTTCACAGCAGCTTTTAAGATTTACTTCTCCGCTGTCTATAAAGAACAAGCTAATTCTCGCAATCTAAATTGAAAACTACTGGAGGGTAAAATCACAGTGTGTCAAACACAAGCGAGTGCCAAGACCAGAGAGAACCATAAAGAGGCTGATGCGTTGGCACCCATCCTGGGGATGTTATGACCTTGAACCTGGAGAAAAAAAATTTTTGAACAGAGAAATACACACTGCCTACTTTCTGTGTGTTCTCTGAAACTTTTCTCAAACTTACAGTTACACTCAAGATTATTCATACGGCAGACGGATTTAGATTTCAAAGTATTTTTATGCTATTAAGAAGTGTGTTTTTGAAAAGAAATGAGAAAAGCATATCGGTTAAATAAAATTGTTTTATAAATATTTCAGGATCTGTACCTTTCAAACAAATCATTCTTGTTTGTGTCATCCGACTGTCTTGATTTGTTTAACACATGGTTTCTGCAGGGCTCTACAGCAGCAAGATAGGCCCTTCATTTGTGCAGATCTCAACCTTAGCTGTTTTGATCCATTTTCCAAGTGATGTTTAATCATTTTTCTTCATTTCCATAAATATATTTATTGTAGTCTTGAATAAGGATTTATACCACATAGAAAGTGACAAATTAGCGCAAGAGGCTTTATCGGTCAAAAGAAAAAAGATTCTGCTATCATCTTTTCCATTGGTCTTTTATGGATGCCAAGTTTGTTTCATGTCACCAAGCTCACCATCAGGGATTTTTCTCCTTGTGCTGGTGTGTGCGGATTTTGCTTCTCTGCAGGAGGAAGCGTCCAGCGCTGGTTCAGAGAGGCAAGTTGATTAAACTCATCCCTAGTACTGGGCTAATCGTCCTCTCCTTTTTTCACTGAGTAGCCCGGTGGGAAGGCTGCCTACTGCTTGGCTGACTGAAGTTGTTGCAGTTCTGAAACCCCTCCAATGTGTTGCTGAAACCCGGGAATTTAAAGTCAGGCATAGCTGTCATTTGATTATGAGTCTGTATGTAGATAAATAATTACACATATAAATCCACAGCAAATT